AGTTTCTGACATGTGAACAGAACCTGTTGGTTCCTAGCTATTCGCCTAGTACAAAGAGCAGACTGGATTAGAACCAGTCAAAAAAGCCAGATGCGCAGGATCTCAAATATCTTACACTGGTAAATACTGATACTACAGTCAAATGTTACTCAAGCTAGCGCAAAGCCTTTTTATGCATTCTTTAAAAAATGTAAATAGTTCAGGTCTGTTTGGAAAGGTGATAAAAACTCACAGTAAAACGATGTCTTTCACAGTCAAAAATACTATCCATTTATATGATTTTTTATATTTAAAAACACAAGAAATACAGGTCAACATACAGAAAAGCACTGTTCATCCTGTGAAATAACAGCAACCAAATGTGTATGGAAAAAGCTGTCATTTGCTGGTAATTAACAGTAATTAACAGTATTCAAGTGAGAAATGTAATTTTACTCACGTATATCTTAAAAATTATAATCTCGACCCTAATATGTCAATGGTTATTTAATATGTCAATAGGGTTATTTATTTATTTATCCTTAGATTTTACAGATAACAGCTATTCCATTAAAAACAAATCCATTTATGGCATAAGTTTTTGGATGAGTAATGACTGTATTGCTTTTTGTTTATTTCAGCCGTGTATATAGGGGTCAGCAATAAATGTACACAGCTGTGTAGCTATGAATTAAATAATGACCTATAATTTACATGAATAAATGCTTATTCTAATATCAGTTCACAGAAATATCTGATGAAAAAACAGTTAGTATCAGTAAAATAATAACATTTACATTGTTGCAACTGTGGTGTGGTGCAACTGTCTGTGTTCACTCCACTATCAAGAGGTCCTGAGCTGGATCCCTAACTTGGAAGTAATTTGTAGTTTGTCACTGTAACTGCATTTACAAAAGGAAACTGTCATTTACCATTTTCTCCTGGCCAAATTGTTGCCAGACTTTTTATATTTACAGGACCTTTTTTAGTAACACTGTCTTTGTTGCTCAGGCCAGAATGAAAACTGTAACCATCGCTACATCTGTTGTAAACATGACTACTTGCCTCCTACAGTGGTGCTGTAGAGCAGGATTTTTCTGGTTTAAAAACTAGGAAAACCCTCGTCTAAAGAAATATCTTGAAGGTGGGAGGAGGAACTTTTGAAAAGCTACAAGCACAGTGGGGTGGATACAGTCAGGATTTCTTTATCGTCATGGTTGGGGGGGGTTGCAGTGGTTGAATGATGTATTTGTATAATGCATGCTGGGTATTGTAGTGAGAGAGTACAGATGGATGAAAACGCAAAAAAGAGACAAGATCATGAATTCTATCAAACCAATAAAGCAGATACGTAGTATTCTGCAGTGCAGCATTATAGCATACTATATGACATGACAAGTAACATTAAATGCAATTTTAGGCCAAAATGCCGTATCACACAGTCTGTAGCTATCACTAAACTACTTTCAGGATCAGAGTCTTACATTAAAGATGTGGTTTATTTAGATCTTTCTCTGAGAGGCTTAACCACAGAAACCTATACATACTGCTCAGAAAATAAACAAGCAATCTGCATCTATTTATCATTTTCCATGGCTAGCAAGACAGAAGCATCTCATTTGTTGTGTAACCTAGTTAAGAGAATTGTGTAGAAGAGGGGACCATTTCCAAGGACATCCCTAAGTCAAGTCTAGTGTAGTAAAATTGAATTAGGGTTGATCTCCGGGTTCCTCCTGGCCCGATTCCTTCATGTGTCCCACTGGAGAAATGTTCTCCTTTGAGTAATTAGCGAAGAACACTGAGGCTGACTCCTCCCACAAGAGACAACAAGAAAGTCCCACTTCCTCCAACAGCAGTACCCCAGCGTTCATAAGGAACTCTGTCAGGGGCCCAGAAGAGCCTGTAAGCCCATCTGTTTCCAGACCTGCATCGGAATTATCAGGAGACAAAGATCTTCGCTGCAGGAGTGCTGTCCTGGGATCAGTTTATTAGCACATAAACCCAGTGACACTGACAAATGCATGGGTGCACAGATGCTGTTATTCGGGCAGCACAATACACCGGCAGCCAATAGGTTATTTAATAATAGGATAAATGCTGACATTATAGTGTGAGCATGTGGTTTTCAATCTGTGGGCTGCAGTGGTGCTTGTTTTAGTTTAATTGCAAAAATTTAGACGTTTAATCAAATGTAATTTTGTATAACACATCACATTTAGGTCAAACTCATTGACTGGTCTGGCAAAATGCTTGCTACATTTACATTTTCAGTGCAAGTCAATGTAAAACATTCCTCTTTTCAATCATGTGAAATTCATCTAACTGCAATACGCAATACAGATGTAAAGAAGTCTTAATGTGGTAATATAATCTAGTTTAAAGATGTCTTTCCTTCATCTTTAACAAAAAAATGCAACGCTGAAATGTAAACGTTCCCCAGAAAATTCCCCAGAAATATGGGAATGTCCATGGGAGCCTCTTGCAAGCCAAACTGAAGTATTAGATGGATTGTTTACACAGACACAATGATCTTTTGACTGAGCCACAAAGCATTGAGGAATTCTCCATGGATGTATTATATCTTCTTCAGAAGCTCGTACACTACTCATACAAGAAGGCAACTGATCCAAAAGCTTCCTGCCATCCAAGCTTCCACTATCCAAGCTTAGTTTTAAGTTGTCTCTGCATCAATATCACAATATTTGTGCAAAAAATATCACCACACACAATACGAAGCCTTACATTTACAGTTTTCTTTGCTAAGGAATCAGTCCCTTTAAATGAACGAGGCCTCAAGAAGGGCTTAATTCTGTAGAATTCTGCCACCTCTAGTTTTATCCTGCTTTTCAAGCAGAAAGTGTTTACATTCCCAACAGAATATCTTGTACAGGAGAACTATACAACGTCTGACTAAGTGAAAACTGACCTACTAGATTTACTCCACAGTGATAGCTGTTAGCTACTCATCTCTCAGAGGAAACCAATTATCAACATATTTTTGTAGAAGAGCCATAGTATATGGAAATGGAAAGCCATAACACCTGCTTTAGGGAACAAAAACAGCTTTAAAAGGTTATAAATCCCTATAACAATTCCAAAATTCTGTGGGGAAAACAGAGGGCAGGACAATCCAGATGTCAACGAACAACATGTGTGAAAAAGTGATCTATGAAAAGGCATCACAGGACACTTTCTCTTCCAGTTCCAGACACTATTCTGTAACAGGAGTGCAGCATCAGAGAGAGAGAGAGAGAGAGAGAGAGAGAGAGAGAGAGAGAGAGAGAGAGAGAGAGAGAGAGAGAGAGAGCTGTAAGCCGAAGACCTGCTGATCACATTACAGTCTACTTGTTACCTTCAGCTTGGCTCTTTTACAAAACAAAGCAGGAATTTACTGATAAATCTTCAACTGATAATCTGTTGCATCACGGTGTACCTGTGTTTCACCGGGCCAGCTTTGACCAGAACTGTCTGTTCTCTACTGAAGTACCTGCCAAAAACCCAGCATGCATTTCACAGTAGGAGGAATAATGCTTTGCTATGAATTCATTATATTTCTATGCTGGCAACAGCCACATTAGGCCTTATATAGAGAAAGTATGATTACTATAGCTCAGAATTATATATTTGTAGGGATGCACAACATTAGATATTAGAACCACATCGGTATCAGCAAATATTTGTCTAAAATAAAATGATCAGCATCAGAGAGATGTTTAGATCTGACGAATGTGATTTCTTATGATGTATTTGGTGTAATCTGGATGAGAAGAATGTTTCGATAATGCTGGGCCATTGTGCTAAAATGCCTGCATTTGATTCATTTTACTGCATTTGTAACCCTATGGGAATACATTTTATGCTTCCACGATACTAATCCAGCTGGATTTAGTCCCAGTTTCTACATTTACAAATGTTAATGTACCAGCATTGGGAAATATGTGCATGAAAAATGTCAGATCTAATATCTGGGCCCACAATTGCCACATTGGCCTACCCTTCTGGTAAGGAAACAGCCCATATCAGTGATGCTCTGTGTTCCCATTGATTATTTCTTTACCAAAAGCCACAATCTGGTCACACAGATGTATTTTTAAGGTGCATTTAAGCTTTTTTAGGAGAACGCGTACACAGTGTTCAAATCAGAGGGAGCGGATGATGCTAGCCTGTAATGTTCTTCGTCTTGTTCTCTACAGCGCTCAGGTCAAGGCCTGCAGACTTTATCAGCTGACCAATCACAAAGATATGAAGAGAAATATGTGTAAGGCCCTGTGTGATCTGAAGTAGTCGTGATTTTTAGCCTGAATAAACACAGTGTGTGTGTCAGGACATATCTGCGTACAGCACTAAACAGATATTCTGTTGATTATGAAGGTAAAATATGCAATAAAACAGGCGAAATTAAGTCTGGGGGTGAGCAAAAAAGGCTTTTCCTCTAACGTTATAGAACCACATACAGGTCTGGGATCCAACGCCTGTAGACCTGTGATGCACAGTATGGTCTAAAAATCTGGAGACCCACTAAATTGCGACCAAACAGACATTTTGAGACGATTTGAAAAGAGCACGATACAAAACGCTTCTGCTGTTAAATATGAAATATTCATATCCAGACAAGCACCATCAACACAAATTCATGTTCTATGAAATATCTGGAAATCGCTCAACATCCATCTCCCCCATGAAAACTGTAGACGATCCCTTCTAAATCCACAACGAGGCTGAAGTTGGCTTTTCAGCTCCACCTTAAATGGTGCAGCAGTTACATCCAGCATTTAAGGTGGAACTTCAATACGAAGCTAAATTCAGCTCCGTTGTAAAGCCCAGCTAGAAAAGAAGCTCCTAGACAAACACACACCTAAAAGACCCAAACAACAGGCTACAGTCTGATGAAAACAGCTTCGTCCTCGACGCTACAGTGAGTCGTACAAAGCCTTTTGGGCAATTTTCTGCACGTAAACGGAGCGTCCATCTCTAAAAAACGTACAAAAGGCGTCTGAGCCGAGCGTGTGGAGGGCGGTTACCTGGTCTAACGGGAGGTTGATTATTTCGCTTATCGGCTGTAGCAAGCTGGATCCGGTGCACGCCGATATTGCGTCGGTGGCCATGATTCAGAGCTAGTCCTCTGTGCTGCTGTGCTCAGTGACAGTGGCACCCAAACCGCCCAGAGTCGCCCCCTCCACCACATCTACAACCAGATACCCCCCTACACGGCCTCCTCCTCCTCCACAGCTGCTGCTGCTGCTGTTCGGCCCGTTGCTGCCCGCTACTGGTAGACAGCGGCGCTACAGCCCGGCGGAGGAGACAAATGGACACAGTCAGTCAAAGGGTTGGAAACGACTGATTACGCCTTATCTTTTCTTAATACTGTGGCGCCGCCAACGGCCTTAAGGTTTGGGCTAACTGGGAGGGCGGAGAGGAGTGCTTAGAGGACTCCCAGAATGCCGTGCTCCTCAGCCTTTATTTAGTTTAAATGTTTTAATGTAACTGATGTTAGTTGTAATGTGTGTTACAGCTTGGTTCTGTTTTGTCGTGTGTCGTTTTCAGTAACTGGTTTGTTTTGGGGTGATTCGCCATCTTTGTGTTGGTTTTGGCTTGTGGTAAGAGATTACAACAAAACAAATTAATGCACCAAAGATGTGGTTTTCAGCAACAAGCATCTCAAGTGGCTCCCCATAAAGATGCTTATGAGAACAAACAGGAATGTGTAAAACTGTATCAACTGTTTTGGTCTCTGTATAGTACCATATTTGTGTTATTTTATATTTTGATATCATCACTGTTACTCTAAATTCCACAAAATAGTACATAATTATCTCTCGCTCTCTATAAAAATACACACACACACACACACACACATATATATACCCTACTATGCTCCTTAGATGACGATATTATGTACGTGTAACATTGTAAATGTCAAAGTACCCCTCATCCTGTGTTTTCAAATGTCATTATGTCCACCTTTTGTAGTTTTTACTGTAGAAATCACAAAGAATTCCCTCTTTTTAAAACACCGGTATCGGTGTTGGTATCGGGATGTTAGCCTTGGTATTCTTTGGTATCGGATCTTAAAGATATGAGTGGTCTCGCCCACCCCCGAGTTGTCCTGCTCTTCTCCCCTCGGCAGCGTCTGATCCGCTGCTGTAGGTGGCAGCGCTGCGCCTGGAGAACAGAGAGGAGCGGAGGAAGAAGCAGCTCTCCGGTCCTCATTGGTCGTTTCAGAGTCACCTGACCTTGCTTGGCGCTCCTGCATGGACGTGTGGTTCAGTCAACGTGTGTGGATAAACACGGGCTCTGAAAGTACCTGATGTAGAGAGGAGTGCGCGGCCTTTTCCAGTATGGTGAAGTGCGCGGTTCAGGGATGCCAGAACCAGAGTGACCTGAAGCCGGGCGAGATGCACACTCGGCCCCGAAAGCGCTTCTTCAGCTTCCCCGCCGATAAGGGCCGCGTGAAAGTGTGGCTGGCCGCCCTGCGGGAGTCCGAGCGCTTCGCCACCGACCACTGCCAAATCTGCGAGGACCACTTTCTGCCCGAGCACATTACAGCCTCCGGAATACACCCTGAGGCCATCCCCATCACTCCTCCGTTAGAGGGGGCTCTGGCGACCTCCTCTGATGAACACGGAGAGCTATCAGACCCGGCTGAAGTGGTGGTAAGTGGAGATGCACCGATATGGTGGGAGTTGTGGGTCGATATCCGAGGTAAACTAACGCTACACGCCAGTTCAAGTGCTCGTATTTTGTATTACTAGATCAACATAAAATAACATTGCAGAGAAATGTAACATTTCGTCGTTGTCAAAAGAAAATAGTCTATTTCTCTTTTTGCTGTTTTTAATACATACTTTGAAAGTCCATGCTGTAAGAGCGATATGATATTTATCGTTATCGTGATAAATCACATCACAGTTTGTCACGATATGCTTTTCTGAGCGCATCGTGGATCGTCAGTACTTAAAGACTGTGTTTGATTACAAGGAGAGCATCATTAGTTTTGTTTAATTGGTTTCAGTGCAGCATGTAAAAGATTGAATACAAATAATTGATCTTAGTATTTTTTTGTATTTTCACAATGTGGGCTCAGTTTCTCCGTTCTAACTTAATAAATGACAAATAAATTTTGTGACATGACATATATCATAAAAACGTCTTAAAGTATTGTGATATGAATTTTTACCATATCACTCACCTCTACTAGCTGTATAAACAGACCAGTAGAAATGATCCAAAGACTTGTTTCATTATCTTTATCTGGAAATTAGGAGAATTATTTCTTCTCCTGTAATAAGTTACTTTTTTTGTTCTATTGGCAACAGTTTATTTTTATAGAATTGAATAAAATTAGATGACATTACAGTTCTAGCTCAGCATACTCAGTAGATATATTTGCATAATAGCCCAGCATTAAATAAATGATGTGCTCTCTGAGAGTACAACAAATACCTCGTCAGATGTCAGTCCTGTCTGGTATCTGCAGATCGATGTGGTTATGATATCCTTGTACATTTGTAGTTGTGATTAAAAGACTACAGTAATTGTAGTTGTTTAAAAGGAAAAAAAATAAAATTTAGACACTCTAAATATTTTTTTAGTTTTAAGAGTGACTGCTGTGTTCCCTGAGAAATGATATTGTTCAAAAATTGAACATAGAAGTGCATCCCAATAGCATAAACAGCATACTAAGCATTTTTTGGCTTATTGTGTGAATGAGTGTTTTAACATTTGCACCAAAACAGTTCACCATAAAGTTGCTAATTTTTGGGTTTCTTTCTTTTTTTGCATTAAGATTGTTACATTAAATGTCAACAGGTTGTTAGAAGTGTTAATTATTGTTCAAGCAGTGGTTTCTGCAGACTAATAAAAAAAACTTTTAATCTTTCAAGACTGAAATTCCAGCAGATGATGAGGTTGATGATGACTATGATGATGTTGAGGATGACGACGACGATGATGAATGTTATGAAGAAGATGAGGAAGATGAGGAGGAGGAGGATGACTATGATTACACTGAGGAAGGCCCATCGTGTATGGATGATGAAGCTGAGAGGGAATGGCTTGCCAGACTGTAAGTTGTTACTTAATATTTCTGTAGGCCAGTGGTCACTAACCCTGGTCCTGGAGAATTACCTTCCCTGCAGAGTCTAGTTGCAACCACGATAACTTATTGCTACATCTGCTCCAGCTAAGTAATGGCTTCAAAAGTCCCTGTTTGGCTGGATCATTAGTATTAGGTAAAGATTTAACCAGCAATTCAGATGCAGGTTGGAACAAAACTCTGTGAGACAGTAGATCTTCAGGAGGAGCGTTGATGTCCACTACTGTAGACTGATACAGAACTTCGGTCTTAAATATGCATGACTTGTGTCAATAAAAATAAGGCTGTTCATTTGTCAAGATTTTTTTCTTTGTGTTTTTAATTGTTTGATTTGTTACATTTTGAATTAGCCAGGACAATCTCAGCAATTCCACAGAACAGAAACGTGTTCGTACCAGACCAGGTATGATATTATGAAGTGATGGTTTAAATTTAGACTGCTATTTGTATTGATAAAACTTTTTTTTTTCCTGTCAGCATTATTATTGTAATTTGTCTAAAGCATTGTTGTAATTTTCCATGACAAACAAATATGCCATGGCAGAGGTGTTCAGTTTTCATGCTCTTTTTCTTCAGGATACTCTTACCGCTCTGAGGTAACACTAGGGCGGCTAACCAAGCGCTTCATGGATCTTCTTCACTCAGCACCAGAAGGGATTCTTGACCTTAACGAGGCAACACAAAAATTAGGCACACGCAAGAGGCGGGTCTACGACATCACCAACGTGCTGGATGGTATTAAACTCATCACAAAGAAGTCAAAAAATAAGATCCAGTGGGTGTAAGTACAGACTAAGTCAATATTTGCTCAGTTCACATTTGCATACTTGTTTAGGAAGTTAGTTAGCATTAAATATTTCTAACATACACGACTCTTCCTTGTTACTGTTTTATGCAAATATAGTATCAAGTTGTAGTTCAGCCACAGAACTACTTCCTGATACAGTCTGTGGAATAGTGTTCAATAAATGGAAAGTTCAGTACCCTTTCAGTGCTGCTGTGTTAAAATATGTTTTTTATTACTTTAATTAAAAAAACAATCTTGACTACTAGTTAACTACTAAATAAACTACTTTGACACTGTAATTTGTCTACATTATTAAAAATTAAAGGTACCAAAAGTTCACTTAAGTAATATCACAAAAGAACCACTTTTTTTCTATTAAATAACCTTTAGTGAAAGCTTTTTATTTATTTATTTTAGTAAATGAGATTTGTGAAGGTGAAGAACCCTTTTAGAGTTTAAAGAACCTCCACATAATGTAATATTCCATACCCATTGACATTTTTCTTGGAAACATGTGCCAGTAAGAGCCATTTCGTCTTTAGACTGGTTGGTGATTTATTTTAAAGAGTCTAAGAGTCTATAGGCAAATATTGCACGTTACTTTGATTGGCATCACTAGCATGTTGAATGATGTCATGTTGTTGAAATATTTTATGCCAACTAAACAGAACAAGAACATTCACGATACTGTAACCCAGGGGTGCACAACTCTACTCAAACGCACCAATGAATACTGGCAGTTAACAGGTGAGTTGAATCAGGTGTGTTTGAGAAGGTAAAAATCACCAAACTGTGTAGGACACTGTCCATCCAGGACCAGAGTTGTGCACCCCTGCTGTAACCTTTAGCCTTTTTCTTTTGGAGTAAGTAACCTTGTAGTATAACACAGGGGTGGTCAACATGCTTTAGTCAAAAATGAAGCCACTTGAGGATGAGTATCATTTGATGTCGAGCACTGTGATACTAGTATCATTTATTAAATCAAAATATTGTGAATCTAATCTATAATGGACCATATTTCGTTTTTGCCTTAACCAGTAAGTAATTGTGAGCTTGCAAATAGCGCTTTCCTTGTTTGAGAACTTTCTGCTTTTACTGCTTTCGCTCTCTGGTTTGGTTATATTTTGAATATATTTTGTGTCTTGCATTATTGCATCTGTGAACTCTGTGCTTCCCAACACTTTATCTTTTTTCTCCTTTTGATATAGGGGCCCAACTCCAATCAGCTGCTTTAAAGGCCAGTGGAAGAGCAAGGTGAAAGTTGATCTGATAAACCTGAAGACTATGGAGGAGGCTTTAGATTGGCTCATCAAAGACTGTGCTCAGCAGCTCTTTACGCTGACAGACCTCAAGGGCAATGCTGAATATCCTCCCATGCCTCTGGCTCATGATAACTGGTTTTCCTGCTTATATAGACCTATGCAAATAGCAGTACATCAGATCTGGGTCCATATCTGTGAGGAGGATACTGATAAGCTCACTCTGTCCAAATAGTCAGCTCACTCACTCTGATGGTGAATATATCTGGTGTATACAATGCATGTCTAAAAGTTTCCAGACACTCTTTCTAATTAGTGAACTGCAGCTATTTTAAAATGCACCTATTATACAAACTTTTACAGTCTTCATAGAGTAGTATTACCAATATATTAGAAAGTTCTGGAGCAGCTGCACAAGAGCCTAAAATCACCCTATCTAATGCCAAGCATCAGCTAGAGGGTTGTGAAGTCCTAGTGTTGGGATGTGGAGCAGTGGAACTGTGTTCTCAGGAGCGATGAAGCTCCATCCAGCATCACTGGGATGAGTTGGAGTGTTGTTTGTGATCCAGAACTAATCGTCCAACATCAGTACCTGACCTCACTAATGCTCAAGTGACTGAATGCAGTAAAATCTGCACAGCAATGTTCCAACATCTAGTGTAAAGCCTTCCAGAAGAGTAAAGGCTGCTTCTGCAGCAAAGTGGGGGACAAACTTCCTAATAATACCTTTGTTTTTAGAAGAAACATTGGATGAGCAGGTGTCTACAAGCTTTTGGACATTTATTTCAATATGATCTATAGTTTATCTGTAGTATATGAATTGCAGTACAGTGATGATCTTCTTGCTAGCTAGGCTCTGTAAACAACAAAATAAGATGATATGTAAGATGGCATATTTCCAGTCATTGAATGGTTAGCTCCAGTACCATTTGAAATTTCTCTGTTTTTTTCCCCCAGTACGTTTCTCATGTATTGCACTTAACTGTAGTTGCACTTCAGCTTATGTGACATATGAAGACATCTGTCAGCTTGGAGTCTTTCAGGATCAGACTGTGATAGCCATCAAGGCTCCTGAGGAGACCAAGCTGGAGGTTCCAACACCCACTGAGGTAACCGAAGGGAAATGCACTGGCAGGAGTTTTAACAAAGGACAAATTTTAAATGTATTAAACATTTTAGCTGTTGAATCCAGACGTCTAAAGAACAGGTAGTGACGGTGAAAGCAACTATATTTTTAGTCATAGCTCATGGTTCTTTCCCCATCTTTTCCACTTTACTATGGTTTTATTTATTTATTTTTTTTAAATGATTAAATGTAGATTTTCCATAGGAGTTCAAATGGTTGAGATCTGGTGACTTTTACTAAAGGCATTTATTTCGATTTTATACTCCCTAAACCATTAAGTGCCCCCTCATGCGCTGTGGATGGGGACATTGTCGTTCTGGATGAGACCACTCCCATTTGAAAAGAAGTGTTTCACCATAGAATAAAGGTGATCAGTCAGAATAACTGTAGTGATTTGCAGTTGTCCTTTCCTGTAAGGGGGCAGTGAACACAAACATGTTGGCAAAAGTCCCCCACAGCATAACAGAGCCACCAGACCCCCAAGCATTCCCATAGATATAAATGCAGATAACACAGATCTTATTGATCTAGTTGAGCAGTCTTCATGCCTGAAGCTACTGCCATCCGCACCATGCCCTCTTTCAAAGGCATTAGACCTTTTTCTCTTGCCATCTTAATCCAAAATTGAGGTCAGCTGCTCAGCATTTTTCATGCCACAGAGCATGTTGCTTAATTGTATGATGTAGTACACCTGTCTGGAAGCGTTTGCACCCATTATATTTCTCCACTCGTTTATTCAGGTTTTTCCTTTAACTTGTCTCCTGTCTAGATGTACTTAAATGAAATGTGCTGGATTGTGACTGATATCAAAACACAGTGTAAGAAGTGGTTTTCCATTCTTTGCCTCAGGACTCTATTCAGATCCACCTGAAGGGCTGCAGAGGACCCATCCATGTGCTGACGTGCGACATAGGTGGGCCAGGTAGTATTGTGGAGCCAGTTGGCACTACTCCGGAGCAGCTTAAAAAAGGCTGTTTCCTTACGTTGGAGGAAAGCAGGATACAGACTACACCACTCCTCACAGGTTGAGTGCATAGTGTGCTTTTGCACATTAAAAAGCATTCCAACCAAATATTTAATGCACTTCAAGCAGAAAATTATAATACAGATTTTCTCCTCCGTTTCCCTTCAGATCTGACCACACCCTCTGCCGTGAGGAGTGCATAAGGACCAACTTATACAGCTCAATTCCATTGAACAGCCTACTTGTCTCAAAGGACTATGCAGCACTGCAACATTGAAATGTTATTACTTTGTTACCATGAGAATCGCTTGAAGAACGTCGGCTGTAAAAAGGTTAAAATATGGTGGTAGGACCATGACGAGTTATAAGCTTTATTTTTTATATGCATTAATCTGATCTCACTGAAGTCATTCCCTGTCAGTTTTTTAAAATGGTACATCTTCTTTTTTGTTCATCTGTTTGTACTGTTACCAACATTACAACCAAAATCAGTTTTCTCCTTGCTGAGGTAAAGGAAATGTACAAAAAGATAACCATGTTATAAAGAACCTAGTAATAATGGATGCAAAAGGATAGCTGAAGGTTTGTAAAATAAGAAATCCTTATTTTTACACTGAAGAGCTTACCATGACTGATCAAAAGCAACATTAAGACGCACATTTACTTGACGCAGAAACATTGTCCATAGTGAATAATGACAACGTGTTCTCTGCTGGCGTTTGTAACTGTAAATATTACTCATAGTATTACTTGTATCTGAGGCAAACTCATAATTTTTCTCACAAAATATATTTTCAGAAAATAAAATAAAACAACACTTGTTCAAAAAACAATGTAAAATATTTAATGACCTTGTTCAAGAACAGCTTAGAGGAAGTATTTTAACAAGAGATTGAGATCATCCAGCTACAATATACACATACAGTTGCTCTGCAACTAAACTCCAAAATGCTCTTTAAAAACGAGAATAAGAATCCAGATGATATTTGGCCTCTACTTCAAGAAAGCAATTCTCATATTATCTAAAGTGTAATGAATCTCAACACATTAAGACACAATTATATTGCACTGGAGTGAGATGACGGACAATGAAAGGAAACACATACATTTCATTATTCTCTTAATTGTCCTAGTAAATGTTTTAAACAGAACAATTTGTAAATATCAGAATCCTGAGAACATCAGATAATCAGCATCTCTTTCAAATATGCCTGTCTCAGTGTCCACTGATTAGAGCTGACATCAGTCAGTGATGAAGTGTACAAATGTAACCGGGAAGACCCCTTTTCTGGTAGGATCCCCTTCGATGTGGCCCACCTTAAAGATACAAGACCACATCAGAGCAAATTAGGGAAACATTAATAAGACCATGCAAATAACCAGGGGCCTGTCTTATGAAGCACATTCAATTTAGACAAAATTTCTGGCCTCACTAATCCTAACAAATGCAGCCGTGGTTAACTCGTTTTCAACAGCAGTTAATAAGTTTCTCTGTTAACGCAGGCCTAGATACTCAAGCCATGATTAGTCCTCATGTGTGCCCTTTAAAAGCATGACATTTATGATGAGGTAATAATTGCTATATATTCTTGATATCTATTGTTGTATGACTTGTTCCCTCTGCTGAAAAGTGATATTTTTCATGTGATTGATGCGATCATAAACGCTGCCCCTGATTGGTCCAAGAGCTGTTTATGATCAGAAATCCAAAACTTAACCTGCCCTCGAGCATGTCATGGTGATGTATTCTGGTAAAAAGTGATCAAGAGTCATAAGACAGAAAATCTACGTACTGTGTAAGATTTTTCTGGTTAAAATTGAAAAAACAGTCCGGAGAAAAAATATACTAAATAAGTTTAATAAGTAATTTATACGTCAGAGGCGTCGGGTTGGATTTTGCTGGAGTTTTCAGACCACGTCTTACGTCTTTATATATTAACATCACGCGTACGCAGAAGAGGTCTAGCTCAATGTTTAGGTCTCAAATGCAGAATCAACATTATACTAATGAAGATATGATTACAATAGTAGATAATTCACTCAAAAGACACGTCCTTCACCAAGTTTTGACGAGTTCTATTTGAATATTCTTTCAACATGTTTACATAATCTGATTCATCCACTCGGCGAAGGGGTCCGAAGCACAACTGACATTAGAAAATGTTCTTCTGGAGATTTTGTACACATTGCCACCAGAGAGCGCTCTAAAACGTACCTATAGTAGCTTGTAAGTTAGCTAACTAATGAAGAAATCCTGCTTTGAGAGACAGGCCCCAGGTTTGCATATCCATGTTATTGCATTCACAGTGTTTCATGAAAACTCTTGCTAAACCATAATAGCAGCATATGATATAGAATATACAATCAATACACAATATACAATGTTCCCATCTAGAGGTTTGGTCATTTCAGCACAAGCTGAACACTCACCCACCACTCCTTGTCCTCTTCTCCATCCACTATAATCACTTCTCCCTCAGCAAAGGTGAGCTCATCCGGATTATCAGCCACACATTTGTAGATGGCTTTCACTCGCTTTGGCTTCTGTTTCTGTCACACACATTGCACATTGCATTATGTACACTATACACTGTGTTGTGTTGAACAGCAGATTTGTTTTTCTTTTAATTTCAATGTTTTATTTCACTGTTAACCAGATAAATCTTTTACAATCAGCAGTACATTAATCCTTAGTTTCCACACAAACAAATAACAACAGCACAATATGGGTAAAAAAACAAGCACTGAATTTATTAAATAATAATAATAATAATTATTATTATTAACTTTCATATGTCTTCTTTTTTAATATGTCCAAAAACACAATTGTGCACAAATATAATTTGCGGTATGAAGAACAGTTAACTGTAAAATGTCTTACGGTCTGTGTCACTCTGGGCTTAGGCATGGGGGGTGGGGCTGGGGGTGATATGGGTGCAGGATTTGGAGGTGGAGGAGGTCCATCTTTTTCAGTTCTTTCTGTTTGATGTCAAGAAAGGAAAAATTAAGCTCCATAATAACATTAGTTGAGTCTAACTCAAAATGCAGAATATAGGAGCAGATATTTGCAGTGAAGTAGCCTGTATGTGTATATTTTAACATACCTGGTAGGTCAGTGGGTCTCGGCCTGTTAGGTTGCGTTTTGGCAACATTTTTGTCCATTCTGAAATTATAAACATCAGCTTTCAGTCAACATGACGAGCAAAAGAAGACAGGATTATTGGGATTATTGTATGCAAGTATGAAACAATGATTTACACTGCCCATCAAATAGGATTTCAAAATGGTTTTAATACATGAGTTTAATGTGTCACTTTGCAACAATTTAACATGTAAGTTAAAGACTAGCCATGTTTATTATAAAACTATATCAAGCATGTACAGTTTTGTGAAAGTAATTAAAAAACTATATTAAACAAAATAATTCAGTGATTTGAAAAAGCTTGTATTAAGAAAGTGCATCATTTATAGCGTTCATTTTCTCTTATGTTTATTTTTTATATATATATATATATATAATGTATAGTTTTTTTTACTATAGTTACTGACTAAAATATTTACACTATTATTTATTTTTAATATGTTAAGTTACTGCAAACTGACAATCATGCTCATTTATTAAAACATGGATTTGAAAATCTAAGATGGGCACTGTAAAGTCATTGTGCTTGTTGATGGAGAACTCTTACCCTGTGGGTGGTTTGAGTGCAGGGCCTCTGGGTGGTAAGGGAACAGGTACTGCTGTGGGTCTGTATGGGGGTGCAGGGGGCACTGGGGGAGGTGGGGGCACTGGAATAAATGTAGGAGCCGGAATGGACGGAACAAAGGGCACAGATGGCATCTGAATGAGAGGTGGTGCTGAAGGTATGGTTGGCACCAGGGGCACTGGAGGCAGAGGTGTGCTTTTTGTCTGGGACTTAGGCTCCATGGTGCTAGGCCTCTTGTTTACTGGAGGAGGTGGAGGAGCAGGGGGGAGAACTGCAAGAAAGAGAGCACAACGTACATATCATGCTCCCCGTATTAGAAATGAACAAGAGGACTGAATCACTCAGCTACAACTACATGCTTTTACTTGCTAGCTTCATTAGCTTCATAGCTCCAGTGAAAAACTTAAAGGCCATCAATTCTGCAGATTTTCTACATAATTTAGTTGCTGAGATGAGAACAAAGTCATTCAAAACACATAGTGTTTTGATGAGAAATGTTCCGTTCTAGAGAACCTTACCAAATTGTTCACAGTAGTGGTGACAGGAACCAGACGTTGCCTAAAACGTACATATCGCTGTTGTCGGAAGAAAACCTCGTATCTCCAAAATGACAATTTTACAGGAGAAGGAAAAAAACCTAAAAACTTTACTTTCAATGTAAGTCAATGGAACCAGACTTTTTTCCCAAGTCATTTTGGGCTGTTTCTTTTGATCTTCATAGAATTTACACAGAATGCAAAGGGTAACGGCCATTTTCAAATTATGTCAAAAACTGAAAAATGACAAAAATGGAGATATGAGATTTTCTTCCAACAGCAGAATAACATACAAAATATAAAATATACACGTGTAGAGGTGTGTGCGTGTGCTGTTTAGGATAGTAGATGCCACAGATATGACAACCCCTGGTATCTCTCACTACCACTGCAGAGAAATCCAGGCTGGTAAGTTTGTCTACAATGAACCATTTTCCATTAAAAAATTATGAATGTTCAAATCTCAACCATTAAATTATACATAAACTGAAAAAAATTGTAGAGCTCCCCTTCAATTAATCTCCAGCTGTCAAGTAAAACTTGCTTATGTGGTTTCTGACACTGTATGACATACTATTATATAGAAAAATTCAGGTTTTGAGTCGGTTGATACTATTTTGTTAGCTAAGCAAAATACTCAAGTCCACATTTATGGGTAACAGTATGTCATACAGTGTTACAATGTTACCAGGTCCATTAAAAATTGTTGGCTTAGCTTTTAGCTTTTCACCTTCACCTTAAGCTGTGAGATATCTGAGGCCTGCCACTCACCATACTCTGGACTGGTAGGGTTGAGGGGATCTGAGGAGGATCTCTGTCTCCCTATAGCCTCCACAGGCTTCCACCCACCAGCTCCTGAAAACATAACATTCATGAACACAACACTAAGTCTGTCTTAAATATACAGCATTTCTGTATTTTATTGTTGAAGCTACCGGAATCCTTTCAGAGTTAAGCCTAAGCAGGGGAGGCTAGTGCTTACCCAGGGCTGGGTTTCTTGGAGGTAGCTGCGGGAGGGGCAGGGGGAGTGTGTTAGAGGGAGGGGGGCTGAGGTCCAGCACAGTGCCGTAGGTTTCATTACACATCATGCTGGAAATTAAACCCCTCTGCTTCTCCCGGACAGCGCTGACCACGTCCCGTGCCAGGGCAGCCATGTTGGGTTGCATGGGGCCACTGCCTGGCACGAAGCAGCTGACAGGGCGTTCCTCACGCTTCTGAGGGATAGGCTACCATCCGTTCCGAAAGGAAGAACATATTTAAATACAACTGGGTGCACATTATATACAAGTCTAATAATGATAATGGTCAGATAATCTCCCCCACACCACTGCAGCAGGGTCTACTAAAGTCTAAATAATCTTTAAATAATCAGTAATGTAGGAACTGTGTGAATTAATGATAAATTAGTGCACCTTATCCTCCATTTCATCATCGCTCTCATCCAGGTCTTCATTGTGCAGACACCACTCGTATTCCACATGCACATGGACGTTAAACTTGCCCGTCTGCGCCTGGATCAGCTACCAGCGACAGTGGAGAGAGAAATCAGCACAGCTCATATAGGAGCTTCCATAAAGAGACAGAAACACTGCAGCTCAAT